CATCGCAGGCGCCCGCCGCCGCGCCCACCCCGCTGCTGCCCGGCGCCGCCGCCGTCAAGATGGAGCCCGAGAACAAGTATCTGCCCGAGCTTATGGCTGAGAAGGACAGCCTCGACCCGTCCTTCACGCACGCCATGCAGCTCCTCACGGCAGGTACGGCCGGGGGGAGGAGGGGCGGCCCCGCTCTCGTCCCCGTCCCCTCGGTTGGCTGCCATGGCAACGGCACGGGGGGAGGAGGTGGCAGCCCCCCTCCGTGTATGAAAACCCAACAGCATTAGGAGCCCCCCCCCCACCCCACAGTGAGTGAGTGAAAGGCATACTGATAAGTTTCTTGGGGCACAGCCCCTTCCCAAGACCGACCCGCGGGCGAGATGGAGAAACGGCCGCCTTTGTTCTGCGTCTGGCGCGGTCGCAGGCTGCATGCCGGCTTGGCTGCCCCGGGGGGCAAACCCCTGAGGTGGGGGGAGGGGGGATTTGTAAGCAGCTGGCAGAGGATTTCGCTTTACACCTATTAATGAAAACGGCGCGCACTCCTTGCGAGCTGCCTGATGACGCCCCGGTTCCTTTCACGCGACGATGCTGGTGCTGAGGCGAGGATGGGTGTATGATATTGCCTGCTGATTCTAGGGGAGCTGCTGTGATGTATCAGTAATCACCGGTGTACGTCTGATTCTTGTATCAAATCATTTTATAACCTTATTTTGATCCAAACTTGATTGCTTTTGCTCCCTGCCATCTTCAGCTGCCTGATGTGCAGCTCCATTCTGCTTGCTCCGTGGGGCGAAGGAAGTGTTAGGAACTTCCTATTCTTCCAGGCAGATTGGTGTCCTCGGCCCACTTGGCAAAGATCCAGGTGCTGAGGTTTTATATCAGACGTTTTCTTAATCCGAACAACCAGACTTGTGAATTATATCGGAGCACTTACCTGTGCAGTTGATCATTGCTTATAATTTAAGAATCCTTTGTTGTTTTTCCTGTGCTGCAAAATCAGTTTGCTTGTTTGGATTGCCTTGAAATGTGTGGCATCTAGGATGGCGTTGCTCAAATTTTGAGATCAGATGAGCAAAGAATTCTTGATGCAGCCTTTAAAAAATGAATTTTACAAGATCAATTTATAATTCTCTTTGTGGCCTCCTCCTCCCCTGCCCCCACTGATCTTTGGTCACTCAGCGTATCTTGCTTAATCAAGAGGTGCTGTATAATATCAGTGTTGAAAAAGTCGTTAGCCTTAATTTGGAATTTTAGGTTGGGGCTAAAGAGACTGAAAAATGTAAATGCGGCCAGAGCAGGTTTCTGAGGCAAAAGGGTTTTTCAAGCAGACTCTTAAAATAGCTGTGGTTACTGAACTTGAGCTGTATCTGTGCACTCTAAATTGCAGTCTGTACGTTTTCAGACGGTGCATGTTCCTGCCTCTGCTTGTATTTCCCAGAAACTCCCCTTGGAAGTTTTGTCCTGAAATGAAAACTGTTGGCTCAAGAGCAGTGTTCTGAAGTACTCTAAAATGCACATGCAAACTCCAGTTTTACTTTAAAAATATTATCAAGAAAATCAGCAGATTTAAAGGACAGATGAATGGGCTATAATGTAATTGGTTTCCTGCTCAATGGACAAGAGAGAGCTATTTTCTCTCCCCACTTGAACATGGGGATTCTGATGCATGGCTTCATCATGAGAGCTGGGTGTGTGTTAGCCCTTTTACTGACTTTATAATCCAGGATTATGGGTCATCAGAGCAGTGAGTATGATGAAGGGATCATTAGAGCAGTGTCACAGCAATTTAGGGATGTCTGAGCAACTGGAAACAATGGAAAGCGTTAAAACAATGCGGAGGAATATAGGAGGCAATAAAAAAGTTCACTGAAGAGTGGGATGGAGCGGAGGAGGAGTCAGAGCTTTGCAGTGGCAGATGTTGAGGAGTAAGGTCTCTATTGATACCTTAAAAAAAGTCCCCACTGATACTGTCCTAGTCCCTGCACTGTTCTGTATCCTCTTCCAAGTTCCTCAGCCTGTAGGTGGGTCTTGTGCTGATGGTGGTTGTTCTGTGTGAAGGAAACCTGTTTTGACATGCAGAGAAATAAATAAAAGGAACATGGGGTAGGAGCAGTAAACAGGATATTCCAAGCCAGGTTTCCCTATCTGCCACCTCCAGCTCTGTGGCAGTAGTTACCCCATAACTGGATGGAATAACTACTGTCAAGGACCAGAAGGGGAGTAGGTCAGTTGGAATGCAGTGCATGGGAGTGATGAAAAGCTCATAGTGGAAGGGATAGCCCAAAACCTTTGTTAATGTAGAGGTAAGGTTTCCTGGTACTGCCGTTTGCCCTTCCAGAATGTGGACAGTAGTGGCTAAATGTAAAACTTGGAGAACCAGGAAGGGAAGGACTTAAGGTATCCCTTCCCCCCACCCCCCGAGCATGTGTTCTTTAAGACAAATCTTGGGTTTGGGTCAGGTGTACTGAATGGGAGCAGCCTAGGCTCCATTGCAGATGTGGCTGTTGCCCATCACTAAGCCCTGGAGACCATAGAAACATATGTCTCTGTGCAGCTGACAGTCTCCATGGCAAGAAGGCATCCTTATGTACTTCTGCAGAAATAGGCTGCCACATTCAGGACTGAAATGAGGCATGTTTGATCCATCAAGGTAGACATGTGCTGTTCCTTACAGCTCTGGTCCAGGCTGTACTGCTCCACTTCACACAGTGAACGCAGATGGGGTGTGTGCAGATAAATGCTGGAATTCAGCTCTGTAGAACACAGCACACTGGCACATTCTTAATCCTTCTGCTAATTGCTATTCATATATTCTGAGATTTTTAAGGCAGAAGGGGATCATGAGGTCATCTCATCTGACCTTCTAGATAACACGGGTCAGAACATTTCTCCCAATTACTCTCCTGCTTCACCTAATAATCTGTTTCTTTTCCTAAAGCATTTCTTTGAACATTGTTCAGTCTTAACGTGAACATAGAAATTAGCACTTCCATCATTAGATGAATGCTTTGCACCATCTTTACTAAAAAGCACCCCAGAGGCTCTTGCCAGCTTAGCCGGAGGCAGAGTAGAGGTGTTATTAAGGTGGCATGTATCTTAATTCATGTCCTGACTTTAAAGGGTTTAAGTTTAGCCCTGTTCTGTAAGGGTATGAACCACCTCTGGGTATCTTTAACTCTTATTGTTATCCTTTGGGCATTGATATGTGTATGACCATGTTATTTAAGAATAGACTTGCCAAATGAGCTAAGAATGTCTTGTTAAATATCTGCAGCTTTTGCAGAAATAAAATGCTTGAGTAGGAGTCCCACTGCCTCAGTAGAATCTCAATAGTTCCCCCTCTGTGTAACGTTCCTAAAGTAGAACTGTTTGTCACTTAATCCTGCAAATGAGACCGTGCTGCTTTTCATGCCATCAGTTTAGTCCTTAGATGACTGAATTGCATGAGAAAATAAGATATAATCAACTTCAAAAGCTACAAGTCTGGAAAGAACTAATATTTTTCCATAGTGTAAAAAAAAAAAAAAGAAAATCAAGTTCTGTTGTGTTTTGACTGCTGGCCTGTTTTTATGTATCTGACAGCCTTTTCTATAGTCAATTCAGTTATTGACCTACTATATAAAAGGGTGATCTATTATAAGTGGGAATTTCCTTTAATTTATCAGTTTTAAAAAAAGTGGGAGGGGCTGGCTCTTTAAAAGCTAGCCCCATTATCAAAAAGCTGCTGTAATTCACAGGAAGAGTCATAAATTATCTTCCAGAACTACTTCCTTGCTATCCTAAATAATCTGAATGACGATAATCTTAATATCTGTATCCAGATAAAACTTTTCTTTTCCTATTAAGATGATGGGTAGCTTTTTAACAAATTTGTAAGAAAATGCTGGCTATTTTGGAAAATGTTTTGCACTTGTACATCAATGGGAAAATAGTTTTACACATTGGAATGAATTTATTAGCAGTATATACAGCCCAGAATTTCTAGGTCATACTCCTGAAATTCTGTTACGCTAGTGTAAAGAAGCCTGCTTAATCGGAGAAGTTACTTTAATAGTGCCATCATTACAGTTTGGTTTGCATTACAAAACCAGATTATTACTAGGTTGGATGATGTATAAATGGTATTGACGTCCTGGCTTGACAGAGTGACTAGCGTGGAAACTAAATTAAATCCTGCAGTGTTTCTTCTGACATGGGCTGAAGTCACTAGGAAAACTAAATATTGCAGCTGCCTTCCTGAAATCTAGATGGTAAATAAACAGAGGTCTTAGGTTTCAGCACTGGCATGCAACTTTCACAAGATTATATATATTCTTAACTGGATTAAAGTTATCTTCTACTGTTAAGAGATGTGAGAGAGGAATGTGTTCAGAGCAGCTCTGACTTGGTGAGTCACTTTTATAATTTTCAATATTATGTATGTATGATTTCATCCACCAGTATGAAGTGAAAAGGGATCACTTCTTTGTGATGTCACCCAGCAAGCAACTGTCACATTGGTTTGTAATGTCAGCCTCTAAGTTCTTCAGATGAAGTAGGAAAAAGCTGCATCTTATATTTCCAATGGTGGCAGGAGGAAGCGCTGAAAGAAATGCCACTGGACTCCGCTGTTTGCTTCTTAGGGTCCTGTAAAAGAGGACGACTCCTCAGATTTGGGTGTGAGACAAACTGTCTTCAAGGAATTGTACAGAGTTCATTGATCTGCTTAACAAAATTTTTCCAGGAGGTTTCCGAGGTTTCTGCTGGAAAGGGTTCTAGACCAGATTGTCTGGCGCAAAGCTCAGATTATCATCCTTCCCACCTCCCAAATTGTTTTGTATCAATTCTCCTTGTCTTCTGCACTAAATGCCAGGAGGCCTGTAGTTCTTATGGGTCTAAAGGTACTGCTGGTTTTTTTTTTCCTCACTCTCCCGATAAGTAGGTAAGATTCTGCTGTAGCTTTACCACAAAGAGACTGGCTCAGGCAGAGAATATCTGCACCTTTCAGCATCCTCTTGGACTTCTCCCAGCTCTGAATTCAGTGTAGCATTTTCTCTACATGGGTTGATGCACCTTGTGATAAGAGTCAAAGGACTGTTGTCCGTTTTCCATGCATTTATTGTCCTGTGATCCTGATAAGAGAGTTAACATTTCTGATACCTCTGCTGCCTCCATCTGATTTCTCAGAACTGAGGATGCTGTTTGATGTGGGGCTAATGAAAAGTATCCCTCATTCTTCATTGTCAACTAACAAATGCTCTGAGTCTGTCCTCACTTCAGATGATGCAGGAGCCTTTGGGGGTTAGATAGGAACAAAAATATGACTGTTTTAGTTTTAATATCTGTTGCCTTTTGTGGGCCAAGATATAAACTTTTTGACTCTGTGAAACTCAGGGAACAGGAAATATTTTCCATTATTGAAGTGTTGTTGGAAGTGGAGCAAAAGATTGGAATCTGTCCCAAAGGATCTAAAGGATTTAAGACACAAGCAAATCTGGGATGCAAGTGAAAAGTTGAAGAGTTAAAATGTGACCCTTAACGGGAACGTGCAAATATGTAGATGTCTTGTGGGAGGGTAAGAGTAAACGCTGCGTTGAGTTTAGAGCTGGGAGAAGTCCAAGAGGATGCTGAAAGGTGCAGATATTCTGTGCCTAAACCAGGCTCTTCACAGTAAAGCTACAGCAGAATCTCACTTACTTATCTGGAGAGTGAGAAGAAAAGAGTAGTACCTTTAGAGTCAGAGAAACTATGGGCCTCCTGGCATTCAGTGCCAAAGAAACGTAGCTCTGTCTCAAGGGAATGCCAAGAGGGGATGGTGAGAGAGTAAGGGTCCCCCCCCGGGCCCCCCCCCCCCCCCGGATGGCTGTATGGTGTATTTCGACCTTGACTTCCTGCAGCTGATAATATGGAAGCTGGTTTTCTAGGGCAGGTTGATTTATGCTCATTTGATGAGATTGAGACAGTTCAGTAGGAGTCCAGAAAGCTTTCCACAAGGAATTGCTATGTTGCTGCTTGGAAACAGACTTAAAAGGACTGCTTACATTACAAACATCCGCCGGTTTTCTTGTCTATCATCAAAGCGATCTCTAGTAGCAAAGTGTGTCTTTTGAATTGTAAGTTCTAGCTCTCGTGAAAAGAACCATGTTTTAACATTCCCTTCTGAAAATTTTCTTTAAAAAAAATTTTAAATGTATTACCGTCCTTCACTTAGAAACCTGCCGATCCTTGGGACTCGAGGAAGGACCATCTGAGTGGGTTTTTTTCTGTTCTCGGATTCTCAGTGTTTCATTTCACTGAAAGTCTCACCACTGTCCACGACCAGGAGAGTCTAAAAGTTCTAGGTCCTACTTGGTCTGTTCATAGAAAAGCATGTTTCACAGAGAAACTTGGGCTTCAATCCAAATCTGTCTAAAACTGAAACAGTTTCAGTGCCCCC